AAACTAAATCAAGGACACTAAATCTCGGAAGTAAATCGGCTGAAGAGTAAAAGGAAAAGAAGAGTGTTTTTGTCGGATGTATCATTTAGACCGAGGGTTTGGTAGTACCATCATAGTGTTAAGGGACGCTAATTTCTTCTTAATCGGAATGTTTTGAGAAACAGTATGAGAACCTGTTGAAGATCTGCGGTGACTTCGAATCCACCATTGCATTAACTTCATCTTCAGTCAGATGCTCACCGGCGATATCCAGCTGACGCTTGATCCGTTCTTAAATTTCCGGAATTTCTATTTTATTCAAAAGATGAGGAGCAATGTGCTTCTTTCTTTCAGTGCTTTTTACTCCAGCTAATGTATAAGCGGAGTATATGCATATGGTAGATATTGTTTGGATTTTTGTAGCCTAAGATCGGAGGAGCTGGCATAGCTGTAACTGGGATATTTCAGTAAAATTACTGAAATGGTATATCCACACCGCTTACTCCAGTGACTTTGGTGTTCCTGTTACTTCAGTAGCATACTAGAGCTTCAGCTGAGGGATTTCATAACAGACTTAGACTCCCTAAATCAAAATAAAGCAGCGCATATATATCGAACAGGTTCCCGTTTCTTCCAGGTAAGCATTTTCAACAATTTCAAGCCGTGCATGATACATTTATTTGTTTCGATGAATAAATTTTCAAGCCCTATACGGTCCATTCATTTATAAAAAACGAGTGCAGAGGGAGCATCGACCTCCTGGATTGTTGATAGAACTTTTATTAAGCTGCTATGGTAGGTTTGTCTGTAAAATTCGGGCTGTGTCAGAGTAATCCTTCAAAAATGGAAATTTTTTGTAAGGAACGAAACGAACTAGAAACTTGTGCTCTGTAATCAATTTGAGCAGCATTGAACATCTCTAGCAAATCGGCGAGCTTCTTCATCAGAGCTTCGATGTGGTTCCGTCTAATCCGCCTAACAGCACTACTGTTTTTGTCTCCTCCCATCATTTCCACGTTCGTTTTCATCGCTACCAGATGCCTTCGAAGCAAGCCTGCGCGGTGCTTTATTCCGGAAATACATTCGTCCAATTTGTCCTAAAAACTCCTAAAAAGTCATGATGCTTTGTTCGTCAAAGAAAGAATTCATTTGGCCACTGAGTTCCGACGCTTTGAACTCATGGATGATTCACTTGCCAGTACTCCTCAAGTACTGCGGAAGTCCCGCGAAAAGTCAGCAAAAATTGGTAGTACTAGTATCAGCTATGCACAGTGAAAATGTGCTGTTAGCATACATACAAGTCAAATCTTCGCTTCAGTTGGAGATCGAGCATAGGAACTGGTGGTGTAGTGGATAGTACGTAGTGTCCAGATGTGAATAGGAGTAGTTTGATTCCCCCCTAACCCGTTATCATTTCTAAAAAAGATACTTTATCTGTGGTAGCAAGCCTACTGTTTCTGTTCTTATGGAACTATGCGAAACGTTACAATAAAGATTTTTCGAATATTTTAGTGTTGAAGGGATGTTGTCGTAGTAGTTTGTTTTTTGTGACTATCCTATAGATGTGTGATCAGATTTTCACTTTTCGAAACGAAAATAAGAGCTACAAAAGTTTTTGGAAAATAATTGATTCTTATTGTGCACACGCTTATTGTGTACAAGGCTTACAACTCTTCCAAAGGTTGCCACTGTTCATTCGTTCTTTGTGTTTTTAACGAGGTGTACAATGCGACAAAAAATCTTGTAAAGTGGCTGTTGGTGAGTCGGCACTGCTGAAGCAGTACCGTTCTTGGTCGTTCTTTCTGGTATAATAAAGTCCACTCACGGCAAATTCGGGCTTGAAGCGTAACAGGGAGAAAAGCGCTTTAATCATCTCTGTAAACTGTTGTACCCTTGTTTCTTCCCTCTTCTGACTTAGAAGGAGCTTAGGCAGATGTTGCTATTTTTATGCGGGAGTCAGGAGTTCGACTTTGCAGGTGAGACAATCAAACCCTTTGAGACCAATTTATTCGGTCTCGATAGTAAATTTGTATCAGAGAAACAGAATCGCCATCAGCTCGTAAGTAATCTTGAAAAGCGTTTACAGCCCTACCAGCGACTGGCAGCTGCTACTGCTTGAGCTATTACTCGAAAGCTTCCATTTCTCACACAGAACGAATACGGAAGGGATTTAACTTCTGATATATTAATTATTATTCTGTTTTACTATTATGGACTTGTATATTGTTACTGTTATTATTGTGGTAATGATAAGAAATGTATACGACTTAATGGATCGAAACATTTCCTACCGTTAAAATATTTCTTATAATTTACAAATTTTGTGATTCTTATCTCCTACCTGTTTTACTCCTCCTTTTCTTTCATTCGTTATTAATATACCCTATTTTTTATTCTGTTATTCTATCTTTATAGATTTGTTAAAGAATATTAGTTAACCAAACAATTAAAATTACCTTCTCCTCCTCTTCTACAATAGTTTGAGCGAGTAAAGAGTGTTGCCGAATTTTCATGCTAGCTACATCGTCCGACAATTTTGCTAACACATTCCTGATTTCGTTGATCTCGGCAAAAAATGTGCTGTCCGGGGCGGACGAATTGTCCGCATCTCCATCCATCGCAATGGACACTTCACTCGACCAAAACTGCTTTGCTTTTCGCTGTAATGTAAAATTACCGATAGTGCTTTGCAAAAAATGCTTGATGAAAACTGGATCCTGCTTTCTACCTGTGATCACTTTGGAATAACAATGTGCTTAATGATGAGAAAAAGGTAATATGTAACACTGATCTAATTTCAAAGCAAACTAAGACGCAGTGTG